CTTCCAGCTTTTTTCTTTTTGCTTATGTGGTGCTGAGGAATGGAACCCAGGGCCTCAGGCATGCAAGGCAAGCACTCTACCACTGAGCCACCTTCCCAACCCAATCCCTGAGACTTTTATTTCTGATTAACCACTAGAAAATTGGAGCTGTGGCTCAAAGTGGTAGAGCACTTGCATCAAGCAAAAAGACCTCAGCATCAGTGCCCAGATACTGATTTCAAGCCCCACAACTGGGGAGAAAATAAAAAAAGACTGGAGATACACTCTCCTTAGGGTAATTATTTCATGATTTTATGCGCTCCACCCACCTTTATATTCAAAATTTGAGTTCCAACCAAAGACCTTAAGTCTTTCATTGAAATAGTCTTTCCTTGGGGCTGGGAAAGTGGCTCAGTGGTAGAGCACTTGCCTTGCATGCATGAGGCCCTGGGTTCGATTCCTCAGCACAACATGAGCAAGAAGAAAAAAGCCAGAAGTGGCGCTGTGGCTCAAGTGGTAGAGCGCTAGCCTTGAGCTGAAGAGTTGAGGGAGAGTGCTCAGGCCTAGAGATCAGGCCCCACGACTGGATCCCCCCAAAAAAGTCTTTCCTGCCCAATGCCGGTGGCTCACGCCTGTAGTCCTAGCTACTCAGGAGGCTAAGAGCTAAGGATCACAGGTCAAAGCCACCCCAGGCAGTAAAGTCCCTAAGACTCTTATCTCCAATAAACCACTAGAAAACCAGAAGTGGCGCTGTGGCTCAAGTGGTAGAGCGCTTGCCTTGAGCTGAAGAGCTGAGGGACAGCACCCAAGCCCAGAGTTCAAGCCCTACAACTGACCAAAAAAAAAAAAATAGTCTTTCCTCATCATTTTTATATACTGGACTTTCCTTGGTTATATTTTTGACTAATAGTTTGATGACATACCACTTACATTGTGTAACTTAAGTAAAAGATGATGTGAGCCACAAAACAACATCCATGCATAACAATTACTGCACAAAATTACCAATATATGCTGTTAAGAAGCATGGATCATAAAGACTTGCAAAACTAATGTTAGAAAAAAATTAAAAAGCATGGGGCTGGGAATGTGGCTTAGAGGTAGAGTGTTTAACTAGCATGCATGAAGTGCTGGGTTCGATTCCTCAGTACCACATAAATAGAAAAAGCTGGAAGTGGCACTGTGGCTCAAGTGGTAGAGTGCTAGCCTTGAGCAAAAGCAGCTCAGGGACAGTGCCCAAGCCCTGAGAACTGGCAAAAAAAAAAAAAGACAATCTGTAATCCTAGCTACTAACGAACCTGAGATCTGCAGGATCCTGGTTCAAGGTCTGCCAAGAGAGGGAAAAAAATTCAGGAGGTTCTAATTAACTAGGAAAAAAAGTCTGGAAGCTAGAGTACTAACCCTTGCAGTCTCTAGTGCCTAAGCTCAAATACCAGCAGCATCAAAAGGCAAACGAAGCCCGGAGCCAGTGGCTCTTGCCTGTCTGTAATGCTACTCAGGAAACTGAAATCTGAGGCTATCTGTTTGAGGCCAGTTAGGACAGGAAAGTCTGTGACACTCTTATATCCAATTAATCACCAAAGAAAGCCACAAGGATAGTTCAATTGCTAGAATGGTAGCCTTGAGCAAAAAATGGCAGCACCCCGGCCTTGAGTTCAAACCCCAGGATACACATATATACATACAGACACACACACACACACACACTCCGAAATCTTAAAGAAAATATTGAATGGAATCTTAAATAATTTTATCTTAATCTTCTCTAATACCCATAACAAGGCCTTTTTTCATTTATTCTATTCATAAGCATAAAGCTTAGGAAACTCCAAACCCTCCCCACCATCCTGGCTCACAGGGCATGACGGATCTGCGCCATCAATGGATGAATGGGACACACACACACACACCTTGGGCATGACGGATCTGAGCCATCAATGGATGACTGTGGACGGACGGACGGACGGACGGACGGACGGACACACACACACACACACAACACATACACCCTTTCCTGCTCCCACCAGGCCGCCATCCGGGCCACACACACACACACACACACACACACGCACACGCGCACACACACCCCCTTTCCTGATCCCACCAGGCCGCCACCAGGGCCTGGCGCTTGCTGGCGGCTCAGCAAATGCGTCTACCCAAGTTCACCAGAAAGAAACCCAGAGGTTAAGAGAGAGGCCCGGAGCGCAGGCAGCCTCGCCAGGGGAGAAAGGCCTTCGCTATGTAAGACCAACAAACTTCATTACCTAGACGTCCCGGTCCCGAAGGAAAAACCACCGCCGGTGTTGGTTCCGCCCGCTGTCAAGGTGGTTGAGCCCAGCATCCCGGACCCGAAGGAGAACCCCGTGGACATGGCTGCCAGGGGCTCGCTGAGGTCAGCAAACAGATAATGGCTTGGGGATGTTTCTCTCCCCCTCAGAGGCGAGGTGGGCCGGGCACCATAACTCTGGCCAGGCCTGACCCGGCGGGAATTTCAAGCCCGGCTAAGCAAGGCCGGAAGAAGGTGGGGAGTGGAGTAAGCGCGCCGGAGCACGCCGGAAGTGACCCCAGCTCGCGCCCTGAAGCCCACCGGAAGTGCGCTCGTCGCGCGCAGGGAACCTTGGGAGTGGAATGAGGTAAGGGGTGGAGCCAGCTCTGCGCGCTGCTCCAGCGCCCAGAAAAACCGTGCACCTCCTACTGTCTTAAAGGGATTGGCGCCCAGAAGTTACCAGACACGGAGTAACTATTTCCCTCTTTTCTAATTCTTCTCTCTGGATCCGTACTTTAGCGCTCACGAATCTCAAGTATTGCTTCTACTCCACTCCCTATTCAAAAAGACGTGCATCCAGGTGCCCTTGGCTCACGCCTGTAATCCTAGCTACTCAGAAGGCTGACCTCTGAGGATCCAGGTTCTCAATGAGCCTGGACAGGAAAAAGATTTTTTTTAAAAAAGTCTGAGACTCTTATCTCCAATTAGCCACCAAAAATCCAGACGAGGTATGAGTAAAAAAGCTCAAGGCAGCCCAGGTCCTGAGTTCAAGCCCCGGTTCCCCCCCCCCCCCACACACACACACAATAGTTCACAACCTCTGCACGTAAGCCCCACCTCTGCTACCTGCAGTCCCATGCTAAAAGGATTTAGGGGAGTCACCCCCTGGCTCCCTAACTTTATACCCTTATTCCTCAGCAAAGCCAACAAATGGCATCAGCATGAACTAATGGGTAGAATCTGGTGCCCAGGAATGCGGGGGAGGGTCACATCTTTTACTGGTACTAAAGGACCTGTAAGGTGTCGAGGATCTAAATACAAGGGTTCCTGAGCAGATTTAGAGGCTAGGACATTCGCCCACCCTACTTTCCCTCTTCTAAAATCATCAGGAAAGGCTTCCAGGCAGAGCCGCTGGGCTGAGGAGCTGTGAACATAATACAGGTTTTATTTTAACCACTCTAGTCTATGGTATTTAATTATAACAGCCCAAGCAAATTAATATACTACTTGTGTCTTTATATAACTAAAGGTAAATGGTATTTAAGGATTTTTGCAAGTAACCATCACATGATTTTTTAAAGGGATAGTTAAATTGTGCTATGAAGAAATTTTCAAGCTGGGTATCAGTGGCTCAGGCCTGCAATCCTAGCTACTCATGAAGCTGAGATCTGTGAGAGAGAGAGAGAGAGAGAGAGAGAGAGAGAGATTTTCAGTCCCTAAAAGGGAGAAGAATAAAATACTGTGAGTTTTAAAATTTCAGTGATCTAAATGCTATGACTCCAGGGTAACCAGTAAGTGAACTGTCTTAAAAATCTAAACATTTCCTTGTGAATGAAAATAGTTTAAAAAGATAAATCCAGAAATTTTTGTGGGAAAATATTCCAGAACCTAAAGAATTGAATTAGCCAGAGCAAAATATCTGGCATATACAAAATATATGCTAAGATCCACTAAAATGTATTATGAAATGTATGTAAGAGCCACTGAAAGGTGAGCATCTGTAAAAGTATAATAGGAGCCAAGAGATCCTATAATCCTAACCAGTATAATCAGTGGTGATCACAGGGTGCTGTCATGTTAACAGTGCCAGCTATAAACAAGCAAACAAGCCAATCTAGAAGCATTACATCCTGGTACCCATGCACAGAGATAGTAGGGACTCAGGAAAGATGTTCATAGCCAGATGCCGGTGGCACATGCCTGTAATCCTAACTACTCAGAAGGCTGAGATCTAGGGATCATAGTTCAAACCCAGCCTAGGCAGATAATTCCAAGAGACTATCTCCAGTTAACCAGCAAAAAGCCAAAAGTGGAGGTGTGGCTCAAATAGTAGAGCACTAGCCTTGAGTGGAAAAAGCCAAGTAAGAGTCGAAGGCCCTGAGTTCAAGCCCCAGTACTGGCAAATACACACATACACGCAACACACACACACACTCATAATCTCATAACTGAGTGAGGTTTATTTGCCTTTGTGAGGTAGAAATCCTAAGTAGCAAGAAGTATCTCCAGCCCTTGCTGATATTTGCAGGAAATATAGTGGATGATGTGGACAGCAGCAATAAGAAATGAGATGATTAGCCAGGCGCCGGTGGCTCATACCTGTAATCCTAACTACTCAGGAAGCTGAGATCTGAGCATCACAGTTCAAAGCCAGCCTGGGCAGGAAAGTCCATGAGACTCTTATCTCCAATAAAAACCACTAGAAAACCAGAAGTGGCGCTGTGGCTCAAGCAGTAGAGCGCTCACCTTGAGCTGAAGAGCTCAGGGACAGCGCCCAAGCCCAGAGTTCAAGGCCTACGACCAAAGAAAAAGAAAAGAAATGAGATGATTGACAGCTAAAGTGTTATACCTCTTTATTCCCCCAAGTGACCTGAGGCCTTAATTGTTACCGTCTTTTATTGCTGGCTGATACTCTACTGCTTTCTCTACCAGGCCTGCTGCCAGGGTGGCTTCTGTCCTGATACTGCTGCTGCTTCTGTCTTTTCTTTTCTCCCCCCAGAACTCATATAATATTTATTTAAATATATATTATTTCCTTTAGGTGGCTGTACAAAGGAGTTGTCATTCCACAGAGTAGTTTATGAACACAGTGCCTCTTCATCATTGTCACCCCTTTTAACATTCTCACCTCCATCCCTTCCTTCATTTTTCTTAATTTTTAGGTTATGTATTGAATTTTTGCCATTTAGCAAAGCAATTGATTTATACAATGTATCTTGATCTATGTCATCATTTCAACATCTTCATACCCCCTTACACCCACAACTTACCTTATTTTTCTCAGTCCTGTGGCATATACAATGCATTCTCATTTCTCCCCTTCATTCCTCTACCCCTGTCTACATGGCCCTCCCCCCCCCCTTACAAGTACCCTTTCCTAGTATCATTTTGTTAGGCATTGACTGAGTCTTTCTAAAGAATTATACTATTTGTGATCTCCATATATTCTATTATTTCAGTTAATTAGTCTCTTTGGTGCCACCCAGTATGTTTAATTCTAGATTTATAGGCACAATCTAATTCCCATTGGTGAGGGAATCCATGCAACCTATGTTTCTCTGGGTCTGGCTTACTTCACTTATTATAAACAGACTCTGCAAGCCTTTTCCTATCTTTACAAGTCTTTAAATGTCATTCTTTCCAATGGATGAGTATTCCATTGTGTACACATACCACGTTTTCTTAATTCATGCATCCATTGAGGGGCATCTGGGCTGATTCCCTATCTTGGCTATGGTAAATAATACTGCAATAAACTTGATTGTGATGGTGGTTTTAGTGTATACTTCTTGGTACTCTATTGGATAAATGCCTAGAAGTAGAATTGGTGGATCACGGGGAAGTTCTATGTTTAGTTTTTTTGTTTTTTTTGTTTTTTTTTTTT